TACAAAATAGCAATGTTCCCCTGTGTCCACCTTAGAGAGGCTTTGGGATGCAGATGTATGCATCTGCAATATCTTCTGGCTAGGTGTGTGCCCCAGCAGCCACAGACAGGAAATCCCCAAACATCCATGAAATTCTGATAAACACTCCAATAGACTACTTCTTTGCCACTTTAAACCACAACAATTTCATTTTTCCCCAAGAAGGGATAATCTGGAATTGGAATATGAGTACATCTGACATGCTGGCACAGTCTGTCCCTGCATCCGTGCCAGCACATCCTTGTGACTGACCTTTCCCAACAAAGGGATATTTAGGACCAAACCCCCCACAGAAATGCCACACTGCAGTTCAGAGCTGCACAAGAAAGAAAGTTAAGAAAATAGAAGTTCTGGTCGGTACAGCCACCTACAGCTCTGCCCTCCCACTGAGTCAGGAAAACACAGTTGGTGATTACACCAAAAAATCTTGGCTCAACAAGGGAATTTTTAAAGAGATATTGCAAACTGCAGTGGGAAAAAAGGAGAGAAAAAACACTAAACCCTCTGGAAGCTCATCCTAATGGCAGCATCAGCCTGTCTTGCAACACAAACCCAGAAGCACTGGCAGACTGGACTAGGTTTTGTTAAAGGTGTGTGATTGGGAATAGGGTACAGAGGGACACCTCACCCTGCTCTCCAGGACACAATCAAGGGAGGGTCACTCAGCAGAGAGGGGAGGGAGGGGGAGAAGACATGGCAGTGCAAAAGCCAGCTCTGAGTAACAATTAATAAAAACTGACGTGAACAAAATACTAAACTTTCCCCACAGCAACCCTGAAAACACCCCAAGGTGAAGACTCCAGAGGTCCACCAGGAGCTTGGCTTTTGCCATTGATTTCATGGGTGCAGCCACCCAGCACCAAAGCACTCCTGCTGCCAAACCAGAGAACTGAGAACTTTCTAAAAGTGGTTTGGCAACAAGAGCAGAGCAACAACGTGATGATTTCTCCAAGAGACTGCTGAGGTTTCCCACAGTTCCCCAGTAAGAACTGTGTCGAGTCTAACAAAGATGAGTACAAGGTTGTGCACCTGCACCCAGATCATGTCTGTAATTTTGAAAATAATTGGGGTGTGAGCTCTGACACACAGCCCAGCTCTCAGGCCAGCAGAGAGAGGAGAGTGCGTCTGCAGTGACATTTAATTCCCACGTAAACTCCATTTACTCTCAGCAGTGAAGTCACACAGAATACTTGGGAATTAAATTAAAGGCTAATTTCACTATAACAGACTTTTAAGATTGCACATGCCCTGTACAACAGAGCAAATGACGTGACCTTTGACGAGATGACCACCCATCAACTCCTCTGAGAAGGACACTAGAAATGATGGTCAGCCTGAGGACAGCCTTCCTTTATGTGCTCCTCAGGAAGGCTTTGCTAAAAATAAAGGCTCTGGAAAGTCATTGCAGAGGTTAAATAGAGAGAAAGGCAACCACAGAAGTCATGAGCGAAGTTCTATCACAGGACAGCTAAACAGACCTTTTTCTTTTTTATTCCCCACTTTTTTTGATGGAAAGGAATCATTAGAACCTCTTTTGGCACAGAGACCATGCCCTTCATCCTGCATTTCCACAGTGATTTAGTTTTGGATTTGCTAGTATCTTTACCCTGTGGAAAAGGCACATCTTTGTGTTCATGCCACAAGTTCTGAAAATACCTGTCAGTGTTTCCTGTTACACTTGGGATAACCAAAAAACACAGGCTGAAAAGGCACAGACAACATGAATTTGCAAAATAGTCTTGACAGAGACACAAGACCTATGAGTTATCTTTTTCTACATGTGAAAGACGCTTCACCATCGTGTTTCACCCTGCAGTAAGTGGTATGTTTATTAAACATATTCAGAAACATCCCACAATGAGGGCAGTGGCCAAAGGACTCATCATCAGAAAACAGATTACTAAAGGAAGCACAACCTGCATAATTCTCCTGGTGTACAGCATCCATTCCAAACTCAAATTAATGGAAAGAAAATGCCTAACAGGGAACCAAAAGGTTTGCCTCATTCTTTTTTAGGTGCTCCTTGATAGCAAAGTTTTTTATCAGTTTTTCTGGATCCCCACATGGATGTTTACAACCAATCGATCCAGTCTGGACACGGGAGAAGCATCAGCCTCTGAGGGAACAGTCTGTCCTTTTCCAGGCTGTGTAAGCAAATTTTCTGTCCTTGGTTTTACAGATTGTCAGTAACCTTATACCTTATTTGCTTTTCTGAAGTTGCCTGAAACGTTGCCAGTGCGAATAATATTCAGAAACAACACCGGATTTATTTTCCATGGAACACCCGAGGCCCGGCACAGCCCTGCAGTGTCGGAGCTGCCATGGAAAAGCCCCAACCCGCCACCCCACTGCTGGCACCAGCTCTCCAAGACAAACAGCCCCAAAGTTAAGGCACATATATCCAGTATTTTGTTTATTGCTTGAGGTTTTCCACGAAGAGGTTTGCACTGCTTTAAGCTGGAGCCATTAACACGTGCTCAGGGCAGTAGCTGTGACGGCACTGGGTAACCTCAGCTTTAGGAAATGCTCCTGCTCCGCCTCCAGCACACCCAAGTGGTTTAGGGACAGCAATTTGCCTTCTCAGATGACACAGAAAGCCTGCACTGTTACAAACTGCCAGCTAAAAAAAAAAAAAAAAAGGTATATTTGCCTTCAGTCTTAAACCAAACTGCCAAACTAAAGAGACCACTTGAGCAGGATCCTCTGAACCAGAAGCTCCCACCTCTCTCTCGCAGCATCTACATCCTTCCAGTCTCTTCTTACGCCATTTTCTCTTTGACACCCTTGATTCAACACCTTCCACAGACTTAATATTGAATTAGTTCTGCCTGAATTTCTCCCTTTTAATTCCCATTTGCGCTTCCAGTCTTTGATCCCCCCATTTTTTGGCAGCTCTGGGAGTTTTCCTCTTTCTGTTGCAATCTCAGGTACACCTCCAACAACTCTGATTTCCCAAGAACCTACCAAAGCAGGGAAAGCTCTGTCCAAGGAGCTGGAGTTTTTTCTTGGCATCAGTAAATTATTTTAATCATCTCATATATCGTGCCAGTAAATTAACAAGGAACCACCAAAACCCACAAGTTCTCTGAAGTTATTCTGCAGAATTTTCAGTAGCCTTTTTCACAAGGATTTGTATAAATTAACTCTGTTTTTGCTCACCTTTTACATATGAGCTACAATTCTGTTCCAGTTTAAAATACACTTAGAGCTGTGTTAATGGGAGAGGAGAAAGTTGCTCCTCTGAGATACAGAGAGAGGCCACTTAGGTGTCCACAGAGAGGGTAAGATGAGCCCAGCTGAATTAGCCATGCTGACATCAGTCCTCAGCTAACTTAATGCAAACAGAAACATTTCCTCCTTAAAGACCACAGATGGTTCACCAGTGGCAGGAAAGCAGCCTTATTCAGATTTTTAAAGAGCAGCAGGGATGTTTGGGAATGGGTTTTTTGTTGTTTTTAAAGCCCACTGATGGTTCAAGGTTTTTCCAAAAGAGGTTCACATAAAATCCTGTAACCTTCAATACCATGATGCAAAGAAAAACGGTGCCTATCCAACTACACAAACTTCATGACATTATTTATTTCAAATCACGTTTCAATTCATTACCTACAGTACCTACCCCAGTTATCAGTACTACAGATATGAATCTCAAAGAAATAAGGACCAAGCTTACACCATTCATGACAGCTTTGCAGTGCCTTGAAAACTATCCCTGGAGCCTTCCTAAAATATCTCCAGGCTTACATTAAAATAAAAGAAGCACACACAACACATAAAAAAAAAAATCTAAAAGAATTAATAATCCCCAGAGGCTGTTCTGTGCCTCTGGCAGCCAAGAGCTTTTTGGTCTTCATGGCTCCTACAGCCCATAGAAAATAAAATCCTCTGAAGCATTACGTTTCCTTAGTTACAATAAGGTGACATGAGGACAGAATTTCAACCTAAATTCTGGTGTTGCCTTAAACCACACATGTAATGCAATTTTAATTTGGTTTTCATATGTCTAAATTATAGATTACTACTATGCCTTAACTCACGATATGTTGAGTGTCTGACACGCAAACAGCTTTGGAGAGAAATGGGTCTGCAAACCCACCTGTGAAAAACTGTACCAGTATTGGTGGGAGCTCCATTATACTGGGAATATCCAGCATGTAAACATAGCTGATGGTTGCAAAAAATGCAACTTCACACAGACCAACTCTTCTCTGGTCCACTCAGAGTAACATCGTTTTAAACGCCAACACTTGTGTTTTGTTATTTTGACTATGAAACAGGACATGTTCAAAAAGTGCCATTTTCAGTGCCAGAGATCAAATTTTACTCTGTGTTCTCACCACTGAAAATTAATACATTACAACAGCAAAAAGAGCCTTTTCTGAATAATTACAGTAGGAAACAAACTGTGACAGGGGCTGGGGATGCTCTGAGTTCCGTGAGGAGCGCAGCAATTCCAGCAGCAGCCCCACGTTTGGGAACTCTCATCCCCAGCCAGTCCTGCAGGGCACATGGAATTCCACATCTACACCGAGCTGCATCTCGACTGAATAATTTATCAGCTCTCAGAGACACGGTTGGTAAAACCCAGCGGCGATGACGAGCCCTCTTTACACATGCCCAGGCTGCTCCATCCTCAATGCAGTGACACGCAGGTGACAACCAGCTCCAGGGACACACCGAGCAGGGCTCCAAGGACATGGGAGCACAGCGAGCTCACTGATGCTGCCAGCATCACCTCGGAGCCAGGAGCTGGGTAGGGAGGCCCTCAGATCCTGCACATGCTAAAAAAACAACAAAGGAGCACCAATCTCCAATGCACGTTCTCTTTCTGCATTCATCAAGAAATGCATTCGTGGAAGTGAGAGGGGCAAAACAGGGTGGTCCCAGCTCAGGCTGTAGCTGTAAGGGGAATTGTAACAAAGCAGGCTTAAAACAAACAAAGTCTAGGAGGAAATAAATGAACAGATAGGTATTTATTTGCATATTAAGAGCCAATTTCCCATAAAAACAATACTTCAGGAAAAGGCTTTTTCTGTTGAAAAGCAGTACGATGTGTACTTGGCCCTTAACTTTAACATATTATGCACTAGACTATAAGAAATTCCACATTTTCTAGAGTAAATGGCCACACAGCTCAAACTAAACCATTTTTATCTTAATAAACTCTCAAGCAAAAAGTGTGGTTAAAATGTTTCATGGAAGGTATCCTGGAAGCTGTTACAGAAAAGAGAATTGAAACTTTTATCTAAGTGTAAGAAAAATCGTCATGTCAGTCCAAGCCTTCACTCTCCAAGTGCTCAGGGATCAGAGTACTGAGGAGCCAAGGGGCTGTGCTCCTACAAATATCATGGAGAATCAAGGCAATCCTTCTGAGCAGAGGACGGAGGGGGAAAAGATCAGAAAACACGGGATAGGAGAGACCATAAATACTCTGAGGAGCTGGCTGAAACTCCAAAAACTCAAAAGAGGGCTAAATCATGCAACCCAAAGTTCACAGGAGGGGAGAGAAGCATCAGGAGCCAGGAGAGGAGCTCAGGGGGGCAATCCCCCAGAGTGATGACAGGGTGCTCCACAAGGCTGGAAGCTGGGCTGGAAGCTCCAGGTATGAACAGAGAGAGACTGGAGGGAGATGCAAGGCCAAGGAGAAGGGAAAGGCGTTGTCAAAACTGACAGAAAAAAAGAAAGCAAAGGATCAGTTACTCTATTTCCACTGAAAACATTTAGAATTCACCCTACCAGGGCCACTTTCCACAGAAGTGCGTTAGCAAAGACAAGGCTGACATCGAATCCAATCAAGGACACACTATCAAAGCTCTGCTTTTCTTCTAAGGAGCTGAAAATAAACCTTTAATTGCATGAAGGTTTCAACTTAAGATCCTGGAGATCAAACTGATGCCCTTTGGAACCAGAAGATGACGTTACACTGATTTTAGTTATGGATAACCAGAACTTGCATCACGTCCCTCTGAGACAACACCAGAAATAGAAAAGGGACTGAAAAATGACTCCAAGTCTTCTGCACTAACCCAAACACAAACTTCTACAGAGCAAATGTATCTTGTTATTATGCCTCACATTATTAGATTTTATCTAAACAGCAGAAAGAGAAGAGCACAGAAGCCTAGAGAAAATAAATTACTGTCTACTGCTGTAAGATAAGTTTAACATGCACCTGGGATTTTGAATGAAACTGTTTCCCTTCACAAAAAAACATTTTAGAAGCTTAAATGTTAATTCAAAAACTCTTATTTTCTATAAAAAGCACATTATCTCAAAAAGCATCCCTTTTAAATATCCTCTATAGAAACATTATCCAGTCATTCTGTACTTTCCCCATCAGACCCTCCTGTTTCACAAACAGGGTAACTGTGGATACATTCTAGGCTTGGAAAATTGTTAGGATGTGCATAAAATTTCTATTACAGAAGAATCATATACATCTAAATCATTAAGTTTAAAGCTCTCTTTTATAATGACTTCACAGTGCAGCTACAGTAAAGAGTCCAATACCACAAAGTGCATCACAGACAATTTAACAGAGAAAGTTATGATCAGAATTACAAAGATGATCAGAATCTTGCTGAGATACTTGTGAATTATTTAATTTTTTTGCTTTAAAACACTGCAGTGGTATCACAGGAGTTTAGTTCAGTGTAAGTTGAATGTCTCTTGTCCTCACAAACACAACCAGCCTATGGAAGTAGATCTCCACAAACCCGATGCAAAGTCCTCTACCTTCCCTCATCCTCTTCCAGAGTCACAGTGGCTTGACAGCTGGCACTGCTTTGATCACTGTTCCCCACACTCCTGGCTGCTTATCACCCTCCCCACGTTCCCTCACGGATGCCTGCATCTATTTATCTCATCTCCCACAGTCTATCATTCCAGAAAGGACACAGTCCCCAGGGCAGGGACCACCCCTTACGACGAGCAGTTCTGCCCCTGTGCTGGTTCCTCCAGACACAACTGACAGAGAACAACCATCATCTTCCTGCAAAGGAGATGCTGATCTCTCCCAGACACATTTCCAAGGATCAGCACAGTTTTGAGAAACACATTGACCTCCACGAGGGCACTGCAGAAATTCACCACGCTCACCGTTCTCTCCTCAGTTCAGCCTCCTTTTGGCAGCTCCTGATGCAGGAGACTAGATTGCACTGATCACTTTACACAGGTCTACTCTGTCTTTTTACCTTCAGAAGCCAAAGGCCACGGAGTCTCTGGGGGATGAGGGGTGGGTGCAGCACCACCCAGTGTGCGCTGTGCAAACTGGTGTGGACACCCCTTGTGCTTGGAGAACATCTTCCCAGTGCCCACGGAGCTCCTGAAGCTTCTCCTCCTCCACAGTCACACCAGTTAACCTCCCCAGGCTAAGGTTAACCTTCAGAAGTGTTCTCCTTCATGTACCTTCATGAAAGCTTACCTTTATGATTAGTCATAAGAAATATGACTTCATCTTGCTCTGATTCAATACATGGATCATCACACTGTCACATCCAGAACAGCTGTAATTACAACTGAGTCAAGAGCCCATTTTCAGACTATTGCCCTACACCGGTTTAAAAGCAGCTAATTAAAACAATTCTGGGACAGATCCACATAAACTTAAGTTCTAGTTTCAAAATAGTATCTCAAAATACTTGACATTTTCAAGTTAAAAGTTATAAACTTGCATATTTAAAATTCTGACATCACTTATTTCGCTGTATTACGTATTATTATAAAACACCTGTCATAGAAACAGATTTTAGTACAAAAGTTAGCTAAAACCAAAATGGAACAAAGTCAGATCTAATTCAGCTCATCAGTGTGTTTAATCCTATGCACACTTCTCTTCAGTCACAGAACATCATGAACAGATCTCTTTAAAAGTTGGAAGGGGAGTTGCAGGAATTTTGGGGTGCTTTGTGGGGTTTTTCAGAAGGAAATAAAGATGCTTTACCTTTTGTGGGTTTGAAGGAAAAAAACTTTTAGCTATGGATTGGAATGCAAAACCCATTAACAGATTCTCATCAGCCATCAAAAAAAAAAAAAAGAAAGAAAACCCAAACCTCCCCCTCCCCAACATTTTATACCATTTCATTTATGATTAGTAACTGAGTGGTTAAATGGCTTGGGTGGTGGGGCAGCAATCTGCTGGGTATTGTCCACAGAGCTGACACAGGGGTCAAAAAATCTTTTTTATATTATTATTTTACCCCTGTCAAGCTCTTATTCGAGCACATGGTTTCTTTTTTGTGGTTTCTCACTTCAGCCCAAACTCTATGGAAAGCGCAATCCCAGCTGAAGCACCAAGGTGACTAAGCATTCCTTAAGCAGTATTACAACATTCAAACCTCCTTAATAAGGGCAGTGCAGGTAAGCCAAGCTTAAGTAAACTCAGCCTTTCATAATTAATGTCTGCAGAGTAGGAAGGGGAAAAAAAGAGAGCCATGGATGATGCTACAGAGGCCAGGATTTGCCAGCAGAACTCCAAGGTGAGGAGCCACAATTACTGCCTGAGGACACAGAGCCCACCCACCCCGCAAGACCACGAGTACCTGCAGCTCCACTTCACCCGACAACAGGCTGGACTCAGCACATGGAACAGGCAAATGCAGCCACCCCAACTCCCAGGTATTGCCACGCTGGCTTTGGCAGCCACACAGGGACACCCCAAACCCAGCACCGCTGTCACCACACACACTGCGAGCTGCCGTTCACACATTATCAGACACCAAAACCAGAGGGGGAAACCATCCTGGATGGGGCTCCCACACGCCCAGCTGGCTTCTCCCTGCGCCCTTCCACACTGGCATGCCACTGAGACTCTAAACTTTTTGGGATCAAAGTCAAGAGCAAACCTCCCGCTCCAAAGTCAGTGCTGCATCTCACACTGCCCACAGCACAAGGGTTTTGCCCACTGCCTCCAAACCCTCACGGCTTCCACATGCCAGAAAGTTGCCCAGTCTTTATTCTAGCCTTCAGATATAAACTAATAATAAATAATAATTAAAAAAAGGAATATATGCCTGGCCTCAGGTTTGTAAGGCAATTCCCATGTCTTAGGTAACTACTTCTTGGGGTTAGCCTTACTAAAACACCAGGAACTCAGCTGAGCACACCATACAGTGAGAGTCTGATAAATAGTGTATTTTTTAATTTCTTTAAAGGCTTTTATCTCAAAAGGTGGGTTTGCTCGAACGTTCTAGCTTTCATTAGCTCCTTTGAAAGAAACACCCTTCCCTCCCCAGTTTCACAGAAATACTGCATTCTCAGACACACAAAATAATTTGGGTCCTTTAAAGCTAATTGTAATTACATAGTTCAGCTAAATAATTAACCAATTCCACGCTGCTGCACAAAGGAAACAAGCAGTACAGCTTCACACAGCTTGGAAATTAGAACATCAGTGGGTTTGTATACCAATATTTTCAAGTTAGCAAAATATGCCAGCAGTTATAAAAATGTTACACTTCAATAATACTCGTCTCACATTTATAGGCTAAAGAGCAAGCTTTACACATCTCATGAGCAAATGGCATTTTTTATACTTGCTGTTAAATTTGCAAGCTATTCATGCATAAAACAATTCCACAATTTCAAGGTCCTCCCTTCCTGTTTAGAAATGATTCCACAAGAATAGTTCATGCACAGCCAGGATTCCAGCATCTCCAACCCAGCGTGCTGCTGGGATGAGAAGGGAACACTCAGACAGCACCAGGGCTGTCAATACATGTCACAGAAATGCAGCACAGACAAAATCTTACTTACTTTGGAGGCCCAGGGCTGCAGACAGTTGGCGTAACATCGAACAAGAAAAGCCATTTCTTAGGCTGGGGGAAAAAAAGTTTCCTTTCTCAAATAAAAGCCACAGGGGGGTTAAAAAAAAAAAAAAAAAAAAAAAAAGAGAGAGAAAAACCCCTTCTGCTTTCTCTTTAAAAATCATAAACCAAAGCAGCAAATGTACATATATGCAACTTCTCAGGCTTGGATTTCACACTGAATTCGATTACAGCTTCCACTAGATCTGAGGAGTTTTCAGTATTGCAGGGAGTTAGCAGCAGCAGCAATTCCTATAAAAATGTTCCAGTTTTAACAAGCACATAAATTCAAATCAAAATGTTTCCTAGCTTTTCAAATACAAATGTCCATACGTTCCCTCAGGCAAGAGGCATGCACCCAAAAAGTGCTGCTAAAACTGAATTAATTCAGAAATGGATTAGAACTGCAGGTTAAAGCAACAATACATTGAAAGGCGAGATATGAATTCTTCAAATTTCTTTTTTTCTCTTCTAAAATGCATTTACAAGTGGCTTATCTTCGGGTCCACTTTTCAGAAACTTCATATTCGTATTGTAGATGAAATTTTGCGAAGGTTCTTCAGCATCTTAGGCAATTCAGGAATCCCACATCCTGGATATTAAAGTTTCTTCTTTATAGTCTTGTCCATCATAACTGCAAAAATTGAATTAGCGTCCGGACCGTAGCTCCAGGATATCTGCTCTAACAGGTTTGCACTGTGGAATGCATTAAAAGCCTCTGCAATACAAACCCTTTCCTCTTTTGCCCCCCCCTTCTTTTTTTTTTTTTAATGCAGTTTACAACTCTGCAGTGTTGCTCAGTATTCTAATGCCTCAGTCAGATAGCACGGCTAATCCACGCCTAGCTTTGCCAATTAAAACATTTCTGTAATGCCCAACAAAACAGGACGTCCATGGCTACAGCAAGGCTGACTGCCCGAGTCCTAATTCCTACTATCTTTGCTTTGCTTCTCAGCAGCTCCCTCAGGAGAAGCTCCCATCGATTGGATGCTCCGCAGCAAGATGAAATATCTAATAAGGAGGAAAGAGAGTGGGAGGGGAACGGAGCTAAAAGGATGACATCACCTGTATAGAAAGCCTTTAGAAACTGCATTAGATCAATTGGCTACTGGATCTGCAGATGCAGCCAACAGAGCATCTTTACTGACCTAATATAAACACACATATCAGTACAACAACTGCTCAGCAAACACCCCGCTCCACAGCAGCTTTTATACCATTTTAGCATCTATTCATGGATGTGCTGGAACTCTGATTATTCTTCTTTTTCTAAATCATTTTTTTTTTCAAAATTAATCACATGCATCTACTAACACTTTCAGCAGCATTTAGGTGGATTATTTCTTATCTTTGCACCCAAATCTAGAAATAATTAAAATAAATATCTGCGGCTATTCACACGCACACACAGATACACACCCATCATCACCCATCATCATTTCTGCTTTTATGTATGTGTGTCACACAAGAGCCTCAATATTTTTATCTCATCCTATACACTCATTAGGAGATTTTTGTCTAAAATAAGAAGTCAATTTCTTACTGAAAGGTGATGTTTATAATCCTCATAATTTTAAGGGCTTTCAAAGCGTGTTTAAAACTTTTGGTGGGTGGGGGTTTTTTCCTCCCTCAATCAAGACCGATTATGTCTCTAACCCCAACTGCCTTAATTCTGCAGTAGTCAATAATCTCTTTTTGCAACTAAAAACTGATATATTTGCAAGGAGCTTAGTGTCTTGGATGGCAGCCCAGCGTGCTGGAGAGCTGCTCCAAGGAAGCACGTCCGAGATCCCACACCTTTGAGCCGGGTCCTCCGCGATGCTTTCCGTTCCTAGAAGGCAAATGACTTCTGCTACTGCACAGGGGAGGAAAGGAGGGAGGGGGCAGGGAGGGGGACAGAGGCTCTGATAAAGCCATTATTTTGTCCTCTGGATCATTTACTTCATCCACAAGAAGGTGCACTCACTGTTCCCGTGTTCCCCC